TGGAAGAGACATCTTGCAATCACGCACTGCCCCTGCTCAAACAGGGTCAGGCAGAGCTGATCACCCAGGACTGTGTCCAGGAAGGTTTTGAATATTCCCAAGGACATTCAAAGGATATACAAGCTGCCAGGGCAGCTCATATCCCAAACTCTGCTCCATGATTACCCTTTAGTTCCATCAAAGCTCTCAAAGCGTAATTTCCTCTGCCATTTTCCCTACTGTACCAACATACAAGGGTGTCTCCATCCCATCTCCCCATACATATCAACCCACATACACTGACAAAGGCTGGTAACTAGCTATTTGGAGACACAGGTCTCAGTCCCTTGTTCTAAAAAGACCTTTGGCACTGCAAAATACATTCACGCAACATGAAAACATGCAGAGACACCACTCTGGCCTCGTTGTACAGCAGCACAGTTCAGACAAAAAGCCCAAACCAAGGACAACCCAACTTGCTGCAAAGCCATCTTCACAGCCCAGGAATGAGGGAACCTACACAGGTGGGAGGCTGAACCAGCTGCTGCCAGTAACACCAGCAAAGTCTGTAGAGTGTGTGCCAAGATGTGGCTGAGCTGGCAGAGCAAGGCACACAGCTGCCCCCAAGCTTTTTGGGGAAGGAAGTGCTCTGCTGTGCTGGGGTGGGTTTGGCTACACAGAAGGCTCCTGGCTTGGGATGGAGGAGGGACAATACATGCTGCAGCATAGTGGGGAGTAGAAGGCATGTGTCTAATTGAAATAAGTGTCCTAAACTAGAGCAAGAAGTGTTGTTTAGAGCATGCGTAGACAAACAGCCAGAGGTTTGGACTGATGCTTGGCCTGGCTTTCACAGGCAGCAGCAAAGACTGAGCAGTGGTAACAGCAAAATATGTTGCACCAACCTGGGGCTAGCACTTGCCTTGTTTCAGGCAATAACAGACAGTGAGGTGGTCAGAAACTGCAAAGAGAAAGCTATCTACACATCTTCAGCAGACACATACTGGTTTGCAGGGGGTCAATTCTGCTCCTAGACTTCATCGTCACGGCCATCCTGTGACTTGTCCCCAAAGTCCAGCTGAGCCCCTTCAGTTTAACCATAGTGCTGCCTGCTGCTATTTCAGTCCACCTTCACCCCCATGCAGATATGCAGACATCTTTCCCACAAGCGAGTCCTGGGCGATGATTACATTCCCAATTATCTTCAGTTGATAAATCTTGAGTACTTAAAGATTGGTATGACAGAGAAATGCAGAAATACTTATAGATCAGCCACCTAAATTCCCCACTCCCTTCCCCACAAACATACCCCTTTTGCATTTGCCATAGTTCTTACTTTTTAAAAAACACTTCTGGACTGACTTGTTTCACTGTAGCATCCAGTGGCAAGTTCAGCACTAGCAATACTAGCACTGAGATGTAATCTGGAGTGGATATACCAAATTTCTACACCTTTAGGGAGGCCAACAAGCGAACACTTCACAGGCTGAATTCATTGTAAGGCTGCATGGAATAGGCTGACACTCTATGCCATTAGAGCTTAAACCTAATTAGGTACCCCATAAATATCTAAAACTTGATTTGGAAATAGACTCATGAATGACAGTAACAGCAAAGATAGCTTGTTATATCCTTTCTGCCTCTTTGAGAGGAATATCTCTCTCCCATACCAGTCCTCTCTGAACTGACTGCCCAATCAATTCCTTTGCTTGTGTTCACCCAGAAAAGCACACAGGGCCACTCGGACAAATTCAAAGTCCATTAATCCTCCATCAGCAAGTTTAACCTACATAAGTCACTAGAGCCCTCTAGTGAGCACCACTAGAGCACTATTTAGACCAGGGATTTTACTAAAGGAAGCAGAGGATTCAGCAAGCGGAATACAGCACATTTGCCCTGAGACTGGGTGACTGCTTTCTGTATGCTACTGCCATTTCTGCCAATGGTTTAAGCGATCCTGATCTACGTATATTTTAAGCTATTTTTACTTCTTTTCCATAGTTTGACTTTGATCCATCATTACACTTAGATACAGAAGCTCTTCTAATTTCAAAATGCCAGAGAAGTTTGATGATCTGGTGTCTTAAACGTTAAACAACGTTAAAACATTTGGGGAAAACGTATAGGAAGATTTCCTCACTGCATTTCCTCATTGCACATAAATGACCTATTTAACCAGGCTTCCTCTGATATTCTGATGAAGTATCAGAAAAAAAGAAACCAGCATCTTCAAAAAGTTATTTTTCCTGAGGATGGGGTGAATTATTTCCAGGAACTGCCTGTCTGTCTATCCAACAGAGGTGCTGAGGGAGCTTAATTCACTAGATCAGACTCAGTTGACAGTTGCTTAAGCTTACTGGTAGACTGCACCAAATTTTGCACCTTCAAAATCCCTGTTTTGTTTTGATTTGATTTGTTCTTCCCCTCTAAAGGTATCCTTTTCTCTAAGAGATCTGGAGCCCCCTTGGCACTGGAATGTGATGCTTCAGTGGAATGCCTAAGTTTAGGTGGGGTGAATCCAATCCTAAATCTCAGTCACTCTAGCACAAACTTACTCTAGTCTCTTCTTGGCAGATGGTAAACTTCTAATGGATTTGTCATATAATTATACCCTCCTAAAGGATTAAGTTTGCAGAAGGAGTACAGAAATTTAATTACTGCAAGGTGGAGATTTCGCTTATTGAAGACAGCTCGCAAACTCCTAGTGTCTTTTTTTTTATTCTTCTTCCCCAAACACAGTTGCTTTCTCCACATACTAAAATGTTGGATTGTGGCAGTTCTTCCTTTTCATATTGTCCCCTGTAATATTTCAGTAATTTAATTGTGTGAAAGAATCATTACTATTTTCTGAAAAGTTAAAAAAAAATAATTGCAGCCTTTCAAGTCTAGAAAATCCTACCACCAAAACCTCAGCTGCCTGAAGCACACCTGTAGGGAGCATCGGTGCATGGCCCCTGTGCCTCTGCTACCAGGTGCCGACACGTGGTAACAGCACCCGGTAGCCAGGAGTTTTTCTGCCGGGTGTACTGCTCTGAACGTGCTGATTCCACCCAATGAAACTGGTTAGATGGTTTCCATTTTTTGACATTTGTTCTTAATATTTTCAGATATAGATATACACGCTTAAGTTGAAGAGCTTATTTTTGTAAATACTTTGCATGGTGATATTTATTGCTTACTGCAGCTGCTTGTTGATAGTGTATGATCTTGTGTAATATTGCGTTGTATCTTAATGTGGTGACAAAAAGATATCAGACGTATTCTGCTCAAATAGCTGAGCGTGAATCTACCCAGAAGCTTCAGCAACAGGGTGTCCCAAGTTATTCCAACTACAGATAAGTACACTGATTGATATCACCCAAAAATGCAATGGAAGTGAGTCCTTCTGGCCTCATCATTCCGTGCTTCCCTTATGGTCAAAAAAAAAAAAAAAAAAAAGTACTCATCAAGTACTGTTCGTCTTCTCTGAGAATAGACTCGGTCATACTCTAGGATGCAAATCATATTTGTTAAGTATAAAGAAGATCAGATGTACAACACCAATGAAGAAAATTACTCCTGAGATCATAGACCTTATATCACCAAAAGCTAAAGTGAAGAAAGCAAAAATGCACACCTTGTCTTTCAAACTGGGGCATTCCAGTGACGGAAGGAATGTAAACATAGACCCATTACTTTTTGACGCATTATGAAATATCGATTGTGTCAGGTATAGCCATCCTACTTGGTTGCACTAAAGGTCTTTCACACATAATACATAGTAAGGTCGAAAAAAAAAAAAAGACTAACTCTTGCTTCTGGTGGTAGGGAATTCAATATTTACAACTGGTTAGTAGGTTAGTAGGAAACTTGGTTTTCTAGGCCTTGAATACTAGTGGTGAAATACCTGTTAACCATTTGCAGTATCTTCCTTATGATGAAAGACATTCGTGCACCACTTAATTCTGCTGTAGCACTGGATTTCAACACAGGCAGAGTTGTTTGCTTTCAGAGTTGGGAAATAACCTCAAAGTTCATTTCAGAAATTCTGTTATGACACAAACATAAGCTGCTGTGTAACTGCTTGTAAGTCTTTCTAGCAAGGAGTGGGTTACTTGCCAGATTTCCCTAAAGAACATTGACCTCCTGATGCCTGTGCTTACACATAAAAGTTCCATTGTTAACCTTATGCAAGCCCTTCTGCAGCTGCTTTTTACAGTGCTGGGAGCTACTAAAACTAGAATAAGGCTATTCTGGGATTCCTAGCCTGTAATAACCTAGTTCTACTTTGTCCTGAAATGGCGCTTTGCTAAATTTAAGTCATTTTAAGAGTAAGCAGGCTTTGTCTCTGTTATTTCAGATAATTTGGAAAATGCCTATTAGAAGCAGTCCCAAAACCAAGAAGCGGTCAGAATCAAGAGGCCTAAATCAGCCTCTGTAGATAGTACAGACTTCTCTTCCACACACCAACTGTTTCAGAGCTGACATAGAGGAAATGATTCTTCTTTCACAAACAGTGGAAAGGGGAATCACTCAGGCTCCAGAACTCCTCTCTCACCAGACTGGTGTGATAACAGCAGGTAGTATCTTAAGATGGGATCTGAAACATTTTTGAACGGGTTGTAGTCATGTGCTGTGGCAAAGAATGGGTTGTGGTGATGAGAAAAGTTCATCCATTGTTACAAGAAACAGACAAACATTATGGAAACAAACACAGAAAAGCAAAAGAAAGACAAAAGGAAAAAAAAAAAGACACTGACAAAGACCACAGTTATTCAGATCTTTCTACTTTTTAGTTCAAGGAACAGAATGATCCGTGCCTGAAGAAGTTCATCGTGTTTCTTAATAAACAGTAGAAATGTTAGCACAAGTTCCGTTGCGTAATGGTGGTTCACTTTTTCCAATCAGTATTCAGAGGTTGCTCAATGACTCCCACTTGAGCAGATCCTGTGATCAAATGTTTTTTTCTTTAGGCTCTGCCTTATCCTACAGCATAATTCCATTTCTATTGGAATTTCATTCCAAACATTTGAGCTCTGCCCAAGAAAAACTTCTAATTCACTCACTGCTTCACAAGGCTCAATGTATAATACCATCAAATCTTCTCTACTCAAGTCTGGTCCTCCTGACTTCTCTTTGAGGGTGCAGAGGAGGATGCCCTAATCACTATCAGAAACTGCAGTTATAATTGCAAGGCACTGTGAAGAGCAACAACCTTTAAAAATGTCTCATCTGTGCTGCAGCAGCGACAAATTCGGAGGTGGACTAAGGAGACCTAAAGCCCATAAAACAGACAACAGTATCAATGAAATCTACTACTCTGAAGAAACCAATGTTAGGTAAATTCCTGAACTGGAACTAAACATCCTCTGGGTTTTAGATACTGCCCTACATGATGAATTCCAACACTGTTCCCATATCCTGATCTGCCACTGGTCTGTAGGAAGGTAACACCAGGTTTTCTGCACAGCCAGCTTGTCTCAGAAGAATCTGCAGCGCTGCCACAGTTTCCACATGGATGCCTTCACCTCATTATTCCTCAGGGTGTAGATGAGTGGGTTCATCACTGGGCAGAAGACAGTGTAGATCACACAGACATGCTTGTCAGAGGAAAAACTAGTGAAGGGCCGGAGGTAGATGAAGATGCAGGGTATAAAGAAAAGGGTGACAACCATCAAGTGTGAGGCACAGGTGGAAAGTGCTTTCCAGTGCCCCTCAGTGAAGCGGACCCTGACTGTGACCAGGATGAACGTGTAAGATGTGACCAACACCAGGAAACAAGCCAGGGATATTAAGCCACTGTTGGAGACCATGAGCCACTCAGTGACATGGACATCCATGCAGGCAAGCCGGATGACAGGAGGCACGTCACAGAAGTAGTTGTCTATTGCATTGGGGCCACAGAAAGGGAGCTGGATTGTGAGCAGTGTCTGGACGATAGAGTGGAGGAAGCCCCCAGCCCAGCAGGCGAATACCAGGACCCAACATACCTGCCGGCTCATGATGGCTGTGTAGTGCAGGGGCTTGCAGATGGCGGTGTAGCGGTCATATGCCATCACTGTCAGGAGGAACATCTCTGTTGCCCCAACAAAGTGCAGAAAAAACAGCTGGGCTATACAGTCCTCAAAGGCAATGGTCTTCCTTTGTGAGATCAGGTCCACCAGCATCCTGGGAGAGGTGACAGAGGTGCAACAGATATCTATGAAGGACAAGTTGCAGAGCAGAAAGTACATAGGTGAGGACAGCTTGGGGTCAGCTTTGACTGTTACAATAATGAGAAGGTTCCCCAGGAGAACCATGGCATAGGCCAGAAAAAAGAAGGCAAAGAAGAAGATTTGCAGCTCCCTTGTATCAGAAAGCCCAAGAAGGATAAATTCAGTCACCCGGGAGAAGTTTCCTAGTGTCATGGCATCAGGCTTCCACGGTGCAGGTGTGGGCATGAAGTCATGGGCTGGCCAGGAGGAGAAAGAGATGTGCTCCAAGGTTCATGGATGGTGAGGGAAGGATGCATTACTCATATTCTGAATGCTACAGAAAGCAGAGTCACATCATGAATTACAGTGAGAGTTTGCAGAGAGTACTGGCTGCCTCTCATCTCCCATCTGCCCACTCCCTTTTAAGGCTTCTGGCCCCTCATCCCTGAACTTACTCTGACCACTGTTTTCTGCTTTGTAATGGATATGACAAAGTGCATACTCCCATTCTGTCAGGGAGGAGTCACATTCTTCTTTCAAAAGATGAGAGACATGAATGCTGGAAACACACTATTACCATCCTTTCACCCACTGGGAGTATAAAGTGCCATCATGGAAGGCAAATACTTGCTATGCCCAAGCATCATGTCTACAATATATGGCTGAACCACGAGCTGTTCCATGCTCTCTTCCTAATTGCTTTCCTTTAAACTGACAAAAGGGTTCTCCAGTTAGCTTGTCAGCTCTGAAACTAGAGATACATGCACAGAAGCCAGGCCTGGGAGGTTCCTCACTGGTGTTCCTCTCCATTGAGCTAGTGGTTGTCTGGTAGCTTGATTGCTGTCTTAGGCCTGATGTTGACAGCACATGCTCTTCTGAAGAACGTATTTGCTAACATAGCATAAGCTGCAAAACACTTCATGCATTCTATGCTCCCTCTGTGTTACTCAGAGACATCTTTAAAGTTCTTCAGTGGATGTATGCCCTGTTTTGTAGAGGTTAAAATATGACCAACAGAAAAATGCTCATTTTCATTTACAACCACATCAGGAAATTCTTCAGCTGCTCATTTTTCTCTGAGAGTTTATAAGTCAGCAAGCAGGAGACTACTGCTAAGAAAGCATTTGATGCCTTTGATACATGCCTCTTACCTCTTGCTAATACCTGAGCAATTTCTTTGGTTACTACTCTATTCTCCACCACTTTGCAGTAGTTCTCAGAGTGCTTCTCTTTCCCATCAAACAGGATTGCTTCATGAGTAATTCAGAATATATGACTGCAAATCAAACACTAGTTTAGAAATGGTCTCACTTTGTCCCCTCTCCCAGGGGCTCAGTAATCTTCTAGAGCTAGCACAGCTGCAGAGGGGATGACTGGCCATCTGTCTGTAGTGACCCCTCATGCTGTAGTGGACAGACGCCTGCAGTACAGGCATCACAGCACTGGCTCCCTGTATAGTCAATGAAGAGAAACAAACACTCTAAAGTTTACCTTGTTTAGATCATCGCACTACAATGAGATGCTTATACCCTAGAAGACAGCACACCTGTCTGAATATAAATGGAGAGCAGACACCTGTCCCATGCTGGATGTCTCAATTGCAATCAATGTTAAATGAAGCTGCCTGAAAGGATCCAACTGGCCAAAGTGTTACAGTAGCATTTACATGTTTCTGTACATTTCCAACAGATTACCAAGCATTTCTCTCAGCCTTTCACATGGATGCACACAACCACACACGTTCTTTAATATGGCATGGCTGATACGAAAAACACAGACAAAGATGAGATTTTTAAAACAAACAAGACAAACAAACAACAACAACAAAAACAGGCTGCTACTGTACCAAGTTACTAAATGTTGTTACAACATGAACTTCCAAGTCTGAACTCCACAGCATTTGTTGTCTGAACACATTTATAATCATTCACTCCAAATTTGTTTCTACTTTTCATCTGACAAGGCATTGTTCCACTCTTACTCCTTCTGCTTGTAATTGCCACACCCTACTCTTGTTTAAGTTTCTTGTTGCACAGAAATTTGTTTCACAAGATTTTCTATCAATTTTTCTTGTCCTGGCAGGCTACAAACATATTATATTGTGATAGTATCAATATCCTGTTTTCCATCTACCATTTAGTCAGAGAGACCAATGAGGCAACACCTTCAAGACTTTCAGAGCTGACCTCAGAGTTTCCTGCATCTCCCTTCTTAATCTCAGACCATCCTAACACAACATATAAATACTCCTGTAATGTATTGGATATGGAAGGTAGTTTTCTAGTAGTGGAGTTGGATCTGTGAGAACTGTTTTGTTACCAAACTTCAAGTAGCTGCCCAGGGCCTTATTAAAGAGATTTGGTGATTGGGTCCCTGGTGTGCAACAACACAGCAATTTGTTCCTGAAGGCTGACGACGGGAAAGGAAAAGGCACCATGCACTTCTACACACTCAGGGGCCTTTTGTGTGGAAAAAAAAAAAAAAAAAAAAAAAAGCTCCTAATAAAACAAACATAATTGTGGAGTCGTACTAACAATCCCTGCATTGAGAAATGTTGGGCACCAGGAAACATTGCTTGGATCAGAGGAGCTGCAGAGTTGCCATAGTGGGAAACTGCAGTCACACAGGGATAGACTGGATTCATTCACCATTCATTCACCAAGACAAAAGAAAGTCTGGGCAGACCAAAGATGTTGTCAGAGGTGGTGCGTCACTGAGAACTGAGGCTCAAATGAAAAACAGCTTGAATTTGTTTCCTCGAACTCCCATTTCAGCATTTAAATGGTCACTTTTAAACTTAGGCTGAAATGGGCTCTGCAGTATCAAAGCAGTTTGTGTTTGCTACTTGACTTTATCCCTTTTAGAGATTCTTCAGTTTCCTTACTGGAAACAGCTGAGGAAAAATCAGCCAAACAATAACATTCTTATTAAGAAGATGAGGAACATTTTCAGTGTTCAGCTAGGAAATGGGTTGTATTTCATCATGGAGAGAGATTTAATCACCCTATTTCCACTGATATACCTATCCTATAGATAATACTAGTGCAATAGTGCAATACTTCCAGAGAACTGGTCAAAACATGAAACTTCATCCAGTGTCTAAATAAAGCTATGAAAACTATCCTGATAATTCCTGTGGACGGTGGGTGAAGCAGTGTTTATAGATTTTAACAGTTCTTGGATTGCTGTACTGATCTGCTATGAAGATCACTGATGACATAAAGTCAAGGCTTTGGAAATGTGTTAGAGAGCAGGGCTCCTTTAAGTTGATCCAGTCAAGAACAGCTGTGATTTTAGGTTTGTAGTGCATGAATTTTGTTGGGAAATAAATCGCACATCTTACATGTGTTGTCTGTCATTGGTCAGTTTAGATTCTGAATGTTTTGGGGACCCAGGGTCAGGAGGGAGAAAAACTCTGAAGTGGATAGCATATTTACCAGGAAATACCAAATAAAAAAACGAGAGTTCAGACTTTCCATTGTAGGAACCCTTTTAGCTATTAGCCTAGTGAGTTTTTGCATCATGATACTGACACTGAGCAGTAATAAGAGCAATTATTATTACTGGAAATTGCAGTGGCAGGGGAAGTGGAGAAGATTCCTCTCCTGTTACCTGCATCAGCAAATGACCAAACTAGCACCTAATACCAGTGTTTTAATAGCTAACTCATGGAGCCAGCATATGACAATGCGGTTTTGATAAGAAAGCATTTACTGTAAGAACAGGGAAATCCAGTGGTATGATTGTTCAGCCTGGAAATGAGGAGGCTGAGGAGACCTCATCACAGTCTACAGCTTCCTCACAAGGGGGAGCAGAGGGGCACGTGCCGATCCACACTCTTTAGTGAACAGCAGTAGGATCTGAGGGAGTGGAATCAAGCTGTGACATGGGAGGTTCAGGCTGGATATCAGGAAGAAGTTCTTCACTGGCACCCAGCCTGTTGGAGTTTAAGAAGTGTTTGGACTGTGCTCTTAGCCATATGCTCTGAATTTTTGGGTAGACCTCTGTGGGGCCAGGATTTGGACTCGATGACCCTTATGGGTCCCTTCCAACTCAGGCTATTCTATGATTCTATGATAGCATCTAGCAGCAGGCAACGATGAGCTTTGCAGACACCTTGGGCCACCATTTTGCAGCTGCATGGGCTGCAGAGTAGCTAGAATTTGCATGCTTGAAAGTTCACCCTCTGGTAACAGCAAGCTTTGCCTGAAGAACATTTTTAATATGTACATATTGGTGTTTATTTATTTATTTATTTGCTGATGTTTCAGCACAATCTGACATCTTTCCCTGTCCTAACATAACCTGTTTCTCTCATGTTCCTATTTTACCCTGAAATGAGTCCCATCTCCCCAAAGGCTGCTGACTCATCAGCTTGCTCAGCTGTAAACACATCATGTTAGCACACGAAAACACACAAAATGAAAGCTGCCAATGCCATGCTGAACTGAAGGGATTGTTTACTCATAGAAGCTTGGAACTACCATCACTCCTTTGTGCAGAAACGTAAGGAGACACCACTCTCCAAAACTTGTAGGAGATAGTAGGAAAGAACTTCCCAAAATACTTGATTTTTACTCTTAATGCTGGGAGAAGCCTAGACAAATACCCAAGATACAGCTATGACATGTTTGAAGGTAAACACCACAATACCACCCTCAACACTCATGTTTGATAGGTGACAACGACCTAATATATTTTCGGCTGACAGTTTCTGAAGAAAATAATGCATAAATCCTTGAATTTAGCCTCAGCTCTATTCCAAGAAGCTGTGCTAAAAACAGAGCAACATTACTGGAAAGTCCTTCCTGAACACTTATCTTTCCTCCCCATGTTTTTTTTTTTTTTTTCTGAGCTCACGTCATTGTACAAGCAAGCACTGTGTTGTTTCACGTCTCACTCCTCTTCACTTTTCTGCTCCACAACTTTTTTATGGCATTTTTCACCTCTTCATTTCGGAGGGTGTAGATCAAGGGATTGAGCACGGGCGTGATGATGGTGTAGAACACAGAGATCATCTTGTCTGCTGAGAAAGTGGTGGAAGGGCGCATATAGATGAAAATGCATGGCCCAAAGAACAGAATCACAACAGTGACATGGGAGCTGCACGTAGAGAGCGCTCTGAGACGCCCTTTGGAAGAGTATGTCCTTAAAGAGACCATGATAATAACATAGGAAACAGCAAGGACAACAAAACAGGTGAGGGAAATCAG